TTCTAGGAATAGTGGAACCCATGGCTGTTATGTCCAGGCTTAAACAGCTTTCCTAGAGATTCTTGAGGCTACTTAGCCAAGGCCAGTGAGTAACAACAGAATTAGAAGTTGGCAGATAGACACATACACAGACCCTCAAGGCAACAAGAATGGATTTATAGATGAAATCAACAGGATTCTAGAAAAGCAGATGGATGGCCGTGGTAACTGACACAGTGGACCCAAGAGGCTGATACCTGAGACGAGACTTGAAGAAAGATGATTTGCCCCCACAGAATCCCCAAAAGGCTTAGAAATTTGATGAGCAGGTGCCCTATAGAATGGAAGATAAATATGGAACTATAAACAAGGAGCTTTATGGAAGTTCTATTTAAGAAACAATGAGGTCAAGGTCATAGAAAAGGGAATCTATATAACGCTCACCCCTTGTTCATCAAGATATCACATAACCTCCTAGGTCAAAGAGATAGGAATGCCATCAAAACTGATCTCAACCTTTTTCTTACTCAGAGACACTGCATTTTTTCAGATGTGGGAATATAACATTTTGGTGACCTTGGGCAAACAGGGCTTGGCAGTAGTAAGAATGGCTAGGAAATGTTCATATTTAGCCCAAGGGCTTCATTACAGCCAGCGGAAAGGGCTCACGAGCAGACTTTCCATCCATCGCTCACTTTTTCAAAGCCTCACTTTTTACATCATGTCCTAACATGCACCAACACCTTCTTCATTATCAACATCAGAAGGCTTTGCTGTATGAGAATCAAGTGACTTTTCTAACATTATATGGCATACTAATAGAAATGATCATATTTATTACCATTACAATCAATTCAGCTCAAGGTTTTGAGTTGCAAAACACCAGTTCCTATTAGAGAGAGATGCTTTTCATCAAAAAACGTCAATAAAATCTTTAATGAGGCTGCATGCATCATGGTTTGCTACACTCTTTGATAGTGTTATCTTCATAAATCATGACATCTACTGTATGACCAATTCTGTACATGGTTCTGCTCTCATCTCCATAAGAGGATCCCAGGTTGCTTAGGATTTAAGCTAAAAGAAGATGACATTTGTATCACGTTCCTTTTTTTTGGATGGCCTGTACTTTTTTTTTTCTTTTTTTCCTTTTTTTTTTAATTATTATGCTCACTTTCCCTGTGTAAGATCATTCACAAACTAATTTTGGAAGAATGTCAATAAATGCTTTTGGTATTTGTTCTAAAATTCAGAAAATAAAACAAATCATAGCCAGATGGCTTCCACCATACTGGTCGAAGTTATGAAATTTATTCTCTGGAAATGATGAGCCTCCAGAAACACGAGGAAGAAGAAATGTTGAGCAAACAGGGGGAATGAGAGAAAGTTTGCTTGTTCCTCTAGCTCCCTTCTACATTTTATTCATTTTACCCTTCGAGGTGCTTATCTGAGGAATCTGAATCATCTACCAGTCAAAACTGAAAGACGCTGACAGTCATGAATCCCCCAACAAAATGTCCTGCGTGATGAAATCAATCAGTCCACAAATTCTACTCAGCTTCGAGCCAGGATCTGTTTTGGGGGTTTCTGTGTATGTTTTGGTGTCTGCACTTTAAATATGAACTGACAGCCAAAGGTCACCAGCTATTTAAGGAAAACCTCCAGGACAAAGGATAGAGACCAAAATAAACCAAAAGATAAGAGGGTGCTGGCAAAAAGAGAGACAAGGTGGAGAGGAGAAATTTTCAAAAAATTATCACTACTACTCTGAGAGATACAAGATAATAAATAATCAATAATACAAAAATAGCCTGCTACAAAAAAAAAAGGCATCTTCAGAGAACAGAGGTTTAGAAGATAAATCTCTCAAAAAGTGGATGAAAAATAAGAGAAAGAAAATGGGATAGAAAAGACCAGAAAATTAATAACTCAGTCCAGGAGGGCCAATCTTTAAAAAGTTTGAGTTTCAAAGACAAAAGAATGAACAAACAAACAAATACAATAGGAGGGAATGGGTAGAAAGAACAGCAATAAAGAAGGAAAAAGAAGGGGATGTAGAACTTTTTTCCTTTAATTTCCAAGTACCTAGAATTGCAAGATATGAGTTTCCAGACTGAAAAGGCCTACAAATTTACCAGCAAAATGGATATATAAAAGTCCCAGTACAAGTCATCACCAGGTTAGAGACTACTGAAGACTCCCAGAAGATAATAAAAATCCCCCAAAAGAAAGAGAAAAACAACACCAGCTTGCATGTCAAGGCTAAGAAATCAGAAAGGAAAGGACATCTCATCATGGGTACTGGAAGTCAGAAGACGGTGCAATGTCCTCAAACCCCGGGATAAAAATGGTGTCTAACCTAGAATGCTACACAAACAAGGATAAGGGTATTTCCGGACGTGAGGACTTAGAGAATTCACCTCCTAAATACTCTTTTTTTTTTTTTTAAGATTTATTTATTTTTAAAGAAACAGAGAGAGAAAGAGTGAGAGAGCGAGAGAGAGAGAGAGGGCGAGTGCACACAAGCATGGGAAGGGGCAGAGGGAGAGAGAGAGAGAGAATCTCCACCAGACTCCCCCCTAAGCACGGAACCTGCCATGGGGTTTTATCTCATGACCTTGAGATCATGACCTGAGCCAAAATCGAGAGTCTGACGCTCAACTGACTGAGCCACCCAAGAGCTCCCCTCCTAAATACTCTTTAGCAGCTAGCTAGCTACTACTGAAAGCAGTGCAGTGATAAAATGAAAACTGAACTGAGGAAACTAATTTAGGATCTAGGAATTATGGGATCAGAAAAAGGAAAAAGAACTGAAGGGAATTCCCAGGACAATGGTGAAAAACACACCCAGGACAGCCAGAGAGCGAGGGGTTGACAGTGAAATCGTGGGGAGGCTCCGGGAAAAAGGTGGCCAAGAACAAGGCTTGACAACAACATACAATCTTACCAATATCAAAGGTGAGTTAACTTTTTGACAAAGGGGCGAGTATGCACCAGCAATAGGCATACAGAAAACTAAGCAAGCAAGCAAACAAATGAAAACAGTGGTTAATTCCAGGTTAAGGGGAATTTTACATGGAAGGCAGCAATAGTGTTTACTAAGTTGTGATAACTGATACCAATCCAGTCAAATTTCAAGATGACACAATACTAGTGTGACGGGGAAAGAAAGTGTCTGCACCAGAGAGAAAGAAATGAATGGAGAGAGAGAGTGGTTGGTGAGAGAAGACAAATCCTCATTTCCATCATGGAAAATCTGTAGATAATTTTCAGTAAGCATCTACTAAGTATCCAGTAAGATACCCATTCTATGCAGAGAAATGGAGGTGATTCCAAAAAGAAAGATCTAAAAATACTGAATGTAGTTGGTTTGGAAAAGGAGAAATGTGGAAGGGGGTTAACGGGGTACTTTTCTCTAAAATTTCTAAAACTATTAGAATTTTTCATCTCTGTGCTATATAACTTTAACATAAATATCAAATAAAATGAAAATCAGTAGTGCTTTTGCTTCCTTCCCGTTCTATGAATGGATAGAACAATCTGGTTTCGATCTTGGAAAACAAAAGCTAGTAGCTCTGGCTTGTTCTCTCTCTCTCTCTTTTTTTTTTTTTTTTTTGAGAGACAGAGTATGTGCAAGCGAGCAGGAGGGGTAGAAGGAGAGGGAGAGAAAATCTTAAGCAGGTTCCATGTTCAGTGCAGAGCCTGATGAGGGGCTCAACGTCATGACCCTGAGCCAAAATCAAAAGTTGGACACTCCACTAACAGCCACCCAGGCCCCCCCTGCCTGTTCTCTTTGGGCCGAGGGTGGGGAGTGGTGAAGAATGTTTGGAAGACCAATCACTTTCTATTTTTCATAAGAAAACAGCCATATGGATAAATTGATTAAATACCTTCTGTTGAATGTTTTCAAAGCATATCATTTCTGAAATTTCATTGTCTCTTTCAAAGTCCAATGTCAGACTGAATGTATGCTGACAACTTGAGACACATTAGCACTTTCCAGTTCATTTAACAAAGCTCTTCCAGACAACGTCACAAGTATAGCCTACTCTCCAATCTAAAAGAGATCACTGTTAGCCTCTAAATAGTAAATAAAAAGGAGACAGACACACACACACAGAAAGAGAAGAGAAAAAGAGAAAACTAAGAAAACTTTATTTATGCAATAGGAGTTTGCTTACAATACCACCTGTGCATAGGAAATTAGTTAACAGATTATTTTTCATTTCTCTAATTCAAACCCCCAGTCATCTTCACACTAATGACAAAAGCTTATTTAGCCTACCATAAATGCCATTCACCTTTTCCTAAGAGTCAATCAGGTTTAACGTTTCTTCTGAATTCTTAGGCAGTTTAATTATTCTTTTTATTTTGGGGTGTTACGATTTTTTTACCTACAAAAAGGGAGGGGGGATGTTTAGTTACTTGATTCTATTTTGTATCTTCTCCCAATCCCCCACTGCTTTCAAGACTTCCTGTTTGTCACACATTCCAATCTCCCTAAGGAAAAGCCGGAGAGCCTACTCCCTGTGCTTAAACTGCAGCTACAGCTGGATTGTGTTTAGGATTTAAGAGGGTACACAAGAACACAGAAGACTGTCTTAAAGTAGACCAATGGATTTTTTGATCCAGGAAGATAATTAGAAGCTACCTAAACTAATCTCTTCATTTTATATATCAGGAATCTTAAGGAACTGGGAAGCCAGCAGCTATCTTGCCAAAGAAGTTGGCCAAATTTCACACTCTGAGCAACTGGGCCGGATCAAGGTCTGCACTCATTCCAAGGTCTTCAACGACACTTGAAGAAAATCTTTCTAAATGAGACAATGGCCAAGTGAACATGGGAACTTGCCAAGTTGCAGTGAGAGCAAAGTCATCCAAGTTTGAGAGTTCTAAGATCTAAGAACCTTGGCACTTCTTGGATGCGTGCTTGCTCAGATGTTTGGTGAGACCCATGGTGACAGTTGTTGCTTGGAAATATGCTGCATTCTTTTTAATTCTCGACAAGAAATGGATCCTACCTGTTGTTCCAGAGGTAAAAATATAAAGATGAGGAGACTTGAGGCTTGAAGCCACATGGAGGCTGCGAGGCACGGGCTTGTCAGACGCTGTGCCCAGTTTTTCTTTGAGTGAGGTTACGCCTTGTGGAACAGAATCGTTCATCCCCCAAACAGTGATACCTTCTGGGAGGCTCGGAAGGATTTCTTCTACAGTTCCAAGCAGATCTAAAAACCAGAGATTTAGGAAGAGATAAATAAAACAGGAATCTCAAACCATTAACTTGTGTTTTCTTTTCTCTGTTGGAACAGGGATAAAATGTCAATACGACGCTGACTTCCTCTTCATTGGGATGATTAATATCATAGCCATTTTACCATTCCGATTCAATGGGACCAACTGGAAGGGAAATCTGGTTACCACCTGATTTAATAAATGCAAACAGGCTGATTCAAATTGAATTCTGGAGACACCATGATTCCGATTATGGCTTTTTTCCCTTCAATGTTTTAATGAAATTCTATTTTTATATTCTACTTTAAATCTGCGTTCAGGACACCACAGTAAACATTTTTGTTGAAATATACCTTGGTAGCTCATTATTCCACAAAGCCATCTGTGTGTCACTGTTTAATTCTACTATAATGCAATACGTTCCGGAAACTCTCCTGACCCCTCCAGAGTCATGAGATCATTATGGTTTAGAGACCGTTTCAGAGCCAAAAGTCAAGTGAGGAAATTAAGAAATGCCCTTTTCTCTGGATCAGGATAACCAAAGGTGAAAGTCTTTGAAAGCTAGAGGAGGAAATGAATGCCTTCCACAACAGGCAGTAAGGTCCCAGGGCCCAGCCAAGTGCAACAACGGCAGATGAGAGCAGGCTGAAGAGAGCACAACCTCCAATGGCAGCAGTGGGACCCAAGGCCCACCTAGAACCAATGCCAAGCAAAAAGGAAAGCAAGAAGTAGAAAAGTCTGAAACACTGGTGTCTTCAAGCCTGAAGAACTTGAGAGTCTCACAAGACCAAGGGTCTGGGTTGCAATTCAGGTTTCAGAAAGGAAAAAAGGAAACAACTCCCAGGAAGCCTCTACTGTACAGAAAACAAAAGAACACCTGGAGAGGAGAGGCTATGTTGCATTAATTTGGGAGACTACACCCAACCTTCTTAATTTGGTCATTAATGTAGAAGAAAACGCCATTTGCTCAGGAGGAGCTGGGGTAAAGAAGAAGAGAGGCAGAAGGTGGGCGTGAGTCCCTGAGGAGGAAATATTTATTAAGGTATCCGGCACTCTGTAGGACATAAAGGAAGCAGAGCATCAACATTCCCAGAGAGTCTTTTGTATGAGCCAGTGAGGCCTCATATTTTTTTCTAGAGTAGAGACACAGTTATTTATAGTCTTTAAATACCTTTAAAATTTAACACTTCCCTACTTTAATATGGATCTCTAACATGGAAGTTTGACACTTATATTCCACAAAGGTGCTCCAATTTTAGTTTGGTATTCCTATAAAACGTCATACTTGTTTAAGATATAAGGGATTTCTGAGTGCTACATTATTTATCTTAAACTCTACCTTAACATCCTTAGAGATATTAAGCAGTAATATCCCACTGGCCTTTGGAGTTAATGCGAGGCATGCCAAAGGCTACCAGCAACTGCCAGAACCAGGAAGAGACAAAGGAAGACTTTTTCCTAAAACCTTTAGAGGGAGCATGGCCCAGCAGACACTTTTATTTTGGACTTCCAGCCCCCAGAACGGCGAGGGAATAAATTTCTTTTGTTTTAGGCAACCCAGTTTGTGAGAGTTTATTATAGCAGCCCTGGAAAATGAATACACCAAGTCACAAGTCAGTGGACAGAATTGTTATTCTAACCTGTGGCTAATTATCCCTAAAATCTATACATTACCTCATAAAAGAAATCAATTATAAAAAATAATGTTATTAAATGTAAAATATACCCTGGTAAAAAGCTCAAGTACATGTAAATATGAACCGTCCCATCCAAACAATTATATTTTTTTCTAAATTTTTTAACACAACTTCAAAAATAATTACAAGATATATTCTGCTTTGAAGCTGAACTTGGTGTTCTGCATTAAACATTTTTTTTGGAAATGGAAATCAGTATCTGGTAACCTCAAAAAGCCATCTGTCAGCCACTAGTTAGTCTACTATAATATAATACATTTGAGAAAAACTCATGATTTAGTTCCTCAAAGTCTATAATCCAGATTGATCATAAAGAAACAGCAAGAGAAACATGTCAAATTAGACCAAGTAGTTCACAAATAAAACCTGTAATACAACTAAGGAAACCCACAAAATGATAAGGAGTTCATATGTAGGGGGTAGGGAGGCCGACTGGGACTTGAACTTTTTTGAATTAATTTTTATTTCTGTCACAAATCCACATAAAATAAACTGTAAGAGTCCAGAGTTCCACTGAGCGCACATGGGATGCTGCTAGCTACAGATTGCTTCGGTAAGAAGTGAAAAATCACAGGGAATGCTGGGGGAAGAATAAGCCACAAATAAATGAAAAAAAAAAAACCAGGACAAACAAATGATCGAGACTTTCTATTTTCTTTTAATTTCATGGTGTTGTTTTTGAGAGAGAGAGAGTGGGGGGAGGGAAAGGTGCAGGGGGAGGGGCAGAGGGAGAGGGAGAGAGAATCTTAAGCAGGCTCCATGCCCAGCTCAGAGCCCGATGCAGGACCCAACCTCACAACTCTGAGATCAGGACCTGAGCTGAAATCAAAAGTCAGACGCTTAACCCACTGAGCCACCCAGGTGCCCCAATCTTGTTCTAATGACTCTTTCTGGCAATGTGAATGTATAAGTACGAATCTCTGAGTTGACTCATTTCATTATCTTAATTTCAAATCTCTCATCTGGAATTGTAAATTAACAGCATAAACTTATAAAATGTTTGTAATGATATGTCAGTCTAAGTAGGCAAAGTAAGTGCAAAGAAAGTTACAGTATGATTAATTGTGGCTCCCTATCTTTTTTGGAATTGTAGAGTCTAAAGAAACACTCAACGTTTACAAAGAGTGATGCGTTTTAGAAGAAAAAGGAAGTGAGCAGATTCCTAAGAATTAGAGGAAATAAAATTTAGTTTCCTTCAAAAGTTAAAATTAAATTGACTTAGCTAAGACATTCAGAATTCTACAGAATTTTATAAATTACTTCTTCAACAGTCATAGGTAATGTGGTTGAGGATAATGAAAATTGAAATAAAAATCTGAAAAGTCTTGTAGAGGATAAAAAATGATGATTTATTCATCACTGTCAGTATTCCTTAACAAAATGAAAAGGTTCAGTGTCATTTTGAAAGTAAACTCTGAATAGTAGGTCCTGACACAAAACAGCACATTTTTATATATCTCAAGGACACCTGGCTATGTTTCATGAAGATTTACTCTTCAGTGAAGGGTACTCCCATCGACACCTGTTGAACTATAAGACCTCAAATGAATGATATGTGTCCTAGTACATACCTCTGCTCACTGCCCCTGGCGCACACACACTGCGGGTGCTGGATAGAGATCTGGGTATGGAATTGAGCTCTGCCCATGGGATCCCTTGGAGATGCAGGTCTTGACAGAAAACTGCTATAAGAAAATGCAACACCTGAATATTTTATGACCTTGAACAAAGTCTGCCTCATGGGGCAAGGCTGTATAATGCAGAAGGCTTTCACAGCAATAGGGTCCTTTTAAGAAACATGTACTATTTCTCAAGTATGCAAGGCATTTCATTAAGTAGTGCTGCAAACATTAGAATGGGTAAATTAAAGGGCTGCCTGGGTGGCCCAGTCAGTTAAACATCTGACTTCAGCTCAGGTCATCATCTCGGGGTCCTGGGATGGAGCCCTGGAATCAAGCCTCAAGTTGGGAGTTGGGCTCCCTGCTGTGCAGGGAGTCTGCTTCTCCCTCCCCCACCCCCTCTGCCCCTCCCCTGCTTTCTCTCTCTCAAATAGATAAATGAAATCTTTAGAAAAACAGGTAAATTATGATCTCTGCTTATGATCCTTCAGCACTTTTTGTACCAATTAATTTGTTTCTACATCATCTTGTCTCTTATTCACATTACTGACACTATAAATGCAATGAGTAAAATTTAACATATCCCTCTACTATGCCATTAGTATGAATTATGTGACTCATCCTGCATTAAAAACTCTTAAAGTTATCTTATTTTACATAAAACAAGCTAATGCTTTCAAAGGAATAGCTTGTAGTTCTTAATACACTGGCAAACACTGAAACTTTTAGGCATGAAGACAACTTATATGGAATTCCGGGACAAATGGTTACCTTGAGCTTTCCACATTCCAAAGCAATATTCACATAGAATCCAAAGTGAAATTATAGATCTCACTTCATGCTCATAAATACCCTCCTCCTACTTAGAGCCACTCAACAGGTTTTCCATAGAAAGCATGGGCAGGCTCTGGTTTCTAACAAAACTGATGCTTAAGTAAGCAATATCCTAAGGCAATTCATATCAGGCCAGAAACTCATCTCACCATGAATAAGTGCCAGCTAGTCTAACAAATATTAGTTTATTAATAGTCATAATAATCCTAGGAAGTGCACAGAAGCACAAGTCTTTTCGATTGTGATAACATATTCTTCCCTGAAATGATTTTATTAGCTGCCCTGAATATATGCAAACAAGTTTGTAAGTGGGCTTATGTGTCTTCACTCTCAGCTGTCCCCACATGTTTTGAGGGACAGAGAGCATATTTATTATGGGTAAAACTGTTCAAGAAAGTAAATAGTAGAACACTTCATTTGATTTTATTCCCAGCACATCTCCCATTGCCAATGAATAATTATTACCCAAATGGGACCACAACGCCATGATGTATTTGCCTTGCTATTTTTCAATGACAAAGTAGTAAAAACTAGTAAATGCACAGAAAAGCTCTCTAGACACAGACGAATCAGTAAGTAAACTATAAATTGGTAAAAAGGCAATTCCAAGGTAGTATATCTACAAGATTCATACGCCATCAGAGTTATTTTCCACATTCCTTTCTGGTTATAAGTGGAAGAATCCTCCTTTTCTCGGCCAGAGAAGAGCTAACCATCTGGCTCCTAACTTGTCTGACACCATTCCAGCTCTAGCTCCTGAGAGTTGGGAAGTAGATATGGCCACACTGCTACGGGGGAGGACAGAACAGCTGCTTAAAACCAGTTCGCTTGGGTCCCGGGCCA